CAAGACTTGAGACGTAGCGGGCACCTCTACCCAATATTAGTAGGTAGGTAGAAGGAAAGCATTGAGGTAGAAGAGAGAATCAGAGTTGTGTCCCTCTGAGAATATGACTTACCTTATGAAAAATAGGAGATGTTTTACCAGAAGAAGAGGTAGAAAAGAGCATTGAATTTGGAGTAACGGGAGCTGAGTTGAAATCTCAGTTCTGACACTCTACCTGCATTACAATAGGCAAGTCTAAATGAGTACAATGGTATTCGTGCTACTTACCAAGATTTTAAATGCCAAATTCATGTGTTATTGTTATTAATATTAAATTTAAGATATGCCGCTTAAAAAGAGGAATAATATATAACGGAGAAAGCCCTTTCGTAGTGATGGTTAAGTATGTGACATTTTAGAGTGCCTTCTAGCCTTAGGGTTTGGGCATACTCGTTTGTCCAGGGACTCAGAATAACACTGCTGCCACTCAACTGATTCTAAGACCAATTGCTGTAGCTCTGGGGAATGGCAGAAAGTGGAGGGCCCTTCACTGTTAATAGAAGTTATATCACTGAAGCACTATCCTAGAATATTTTCCTCACTCAGGTTTGGGAACCCTCTCTTTAGTTGAAAAAGTTTGTACTGTTACTCATAGGCAATTACAAAGCTTCACAAGGAAAAATATGGTCCATTTAAAGTGGATTTTTTTTTGGTCCAACCTATGACTTCAAAGTAGGGTAAACTCTGGGATGGAAACTCTCTCCTTAAATAACTTCTTTATAATTTAGTCTTGCGGAGGAACTATAATTTAGTTCCTTGTGGAGGAACGAGGTTAAGTGATTTAGACGTCGTAACTAATAAAGGTGATGTTTGAATCCATATCTTCCTGACTCCAAGGGCATTCATTACTTGATCCACTTTGCCACACCACCTTAGACATACCAATAATATAGGCAAAATAAATACTTCCATTTCAATTACCGGATTTTCCTGATAAGCTAAAAAATAATACAATTCTAATTTGTATTTGTGATCATTCAGACTTAATCCTCTGTTCTGCAGACTCTAAGGATCTCTTAAGTCCATTCCAGAGCTAGAATTCCATGATTTTAATTCATAGTATAAAATCTAAAATAATAGTAGAGACATCAAAGTGTAAAGCAGAAAGCACTGCACTTAGACTCAGAAGGCCTGCTTTTGTATTCCAACTCCAGCAATTGTCTACTTTTATGATGTTGTATTAGTTACTTAAACAATGAACTTCAGTCTTCTCATGGATAAAATGGTGATAATAATAATTGCTTTCCCTACTTCATCAAGTTGTTGTGAGAAATATGGAGATAATGCATGTGAATGCTCTAAAGTAGCATGTAAGTTACATTTATAGTATAAACAAGCCTATGGGAGAAATATTTAAGAAACACTTTAAAATAAAATTTCCAAGCATCCTTAAGCACTTCAAAAGGACCATTACTTACAAACTATTGATGAGCTAACTAAAAATAACTTTAATTTATTCATTTAAATGAATCCCTAAGGCACTCCAATAAATAAGCCTTCCTTTGAGTTATTACTCAGTGTTAATAAGGTTACTTTTGAGAGTACTAGTCCAAGAGGACCAAGGGACTCTGTTACCTCTCTGATGTCACATCACACCCCTATCCAAAGCCAACCAATTCATACCATTGATTCCAAGTTCAAACTGAGGACAGTGAATAAACAGGTAGATATCTCTCTCCACTATCACATAAATAACACCAACATGGGAAACATCTGGGAAAAATATAAGATTGAATTAAATTATCCCAAAGGTGCCTGCTGACTCTAAATTAGTTCTAGAGTCAGGGGACCTAGGTTCAAAGCTTACCTCTGATACTATTTGTGTGACATTGGGCAAGTCACTTCATTTCTCTGGGCCTCAGTTTCCCCAGCTATAAAATAAGGGGATTGGGTATAGAGGTGAAGTGACTTGCCCAGAATAACAAATATAATAAATGTCAGAGATGGGATTTGAACCCAGACTAAAGGACCTCTGATAACTCTTTCAAAATTCAGTCTATGATCTTATGACCCCTCCCAACACAAACACACACACACACACACACACACACACACACACACATCTATATCAGTGAATAATAGGAAATGATGATGGGTTCGTCAGAAGGAATATTTGTTTCATTTCATCACTGATCTGTGAATTTATTGATGAGGATACTTTTTCTACAAGTTCAGATCACAACCTTTCTAGAAATTTCCTAGTTTTCTCATGTAGTTAAATTAGTGAAGAGCCTTAAACTTAATTCAGCTGGTCCTCTGACAGTATGATCAGAGTATTCCACATCTAGAACTGGATGGAGTCTCAGAGGCCCTTCCAGTCTAACCCCTTCGTTTTGATAATAAGAAAATTGAGGCCCAGAGAGGTTATGATTACACAGGTTACACAGATAGTATCAGAGGCAGGATTTGAACCCAGGGCCTCTAACTCTGGAGTAATTGCTATATAGTTCATCGTTGTGTTGCTGTATTAGTCTTACTCTGATGCTTCATTGAAAGGCTTCAAAGGATATTTAGAAAGACTATCTGATTTAAAACCCTATAATCCTTGGAATGTTGTTAGGGGTAGGTTTGACTCAGGCCAGTACGCTGTTAGTTCAGGTTCAATATTGTAACAAAATGAGGCACTTGTAGGTCATTCAACAGTTAATAAGAAATTTACTTAGCCATAGCATACAAATGATACTCCACAATGATACTCCAGCACTAGCTTGAATTGATGTGGCCTGGCCTCCCATCTCCATATGGAAATGAGTCTGGTCAGCAGGATGTGGCAATTTTTAGGGATATCCATAAAGTCTGAAGGACCCTGACTCCATACAAGTGGGCTTTTAGAGCCCTTGGGTGACCAGAAAGTTACAGAAATATAAGAGGCTACCTGAAAACTGTGTCAAGGAAAGTGAATCTTGAATCTTGGCCCCCTGGGCCAAACAAGTCCTGGAGACAACTTCGTCACCTATAATGGAAAAACTAGCCTATCCAATATTTAAGGGAGAAGGAGAATCACAGATAAGTATAGAATTTAATTATTTTATTGTCTCAAATCAAGACTCAATTTAGACTATTTATTCAGATAGGTCTCATTTAGCTTTTAAAGATCTCCTGGGAAAGAGATGCAATATTCTCTCTTAGCAACTCACCCCCTCTGCCATAAAATCCACTATGCTTGAAAGCAGTATGTGATGCTATTGTAACAGTTGTTAAAACGAATGAAACAATTCTGTGTCTATATTAGCAAAATGAAGTATGGAATTGGGTTAAAGGGGAAAAAGAAAGGAGTTGTAGAACTGAGGGGAAAAGGGAAATGTGGACGTGAGTCAAGAAGGTAGTTGAGTGTTTTTCAGGTTCACTCCATCCCATCCAGATCCTTTTTGCTGTCATCTACAGACCCAGATCATTCTCCCTCTTCCTCAACATATCCAAAATCTGGTTCCAATACCCTGGACTGCTTCTTCCTCAGTAATTTTAACTTCTACGACCTCTGTCTCTAGATTACCTCAAACATGTATGAGAAAAGCTGTACATTAGATCCAATCCCCAGCCCTCCATACACATTTACACACTCAACTGAATTTGTCCCAGATGCTAAAATTTTTAGTTATAGCTCTGAGTATATACTGTTTACTCATAATATAGCTTTTCTTCAATTATATATATCATTTTGTTGTCATTCAGTCATTTTTCAGTTGTGTCCCACCCTTCATGACTTCATTTGGGGTTTTCTTGGGAGAGATACTGGAGTAGTTTGCCATTTTCTTCTCCAGCTCATTTTACAGATGAGAAAACTCAGGCAACCAGGGTTAAGTGACTTGCCCACAATCACACAGCTAGTAAATGTCTGAGGCCAGATTTGAACTCAGGAAGATGAATCTTCCTCACTCCAGGCCTGATGTTGTCTATCCACTGTGGCACTTAGCTGACCTATGTATATCATAAGACCATATATTATGATGAAAAAATATTCCAGCCCCTGCATTTTAAATATGAAGAAATGGAGGCCTCAAGAGGTTAAATAATTGGTCATGGGATAGTAACTGACAGTCAGGATTCAAACCTAGGATTTTTAGTGTGTTTCTGAGTGTATCTGTTGCAGATTATATGCCGAAACTAGTCATTTACAGATGGGTGGACTTTTCTCTAAATGATCAGTTTGAATTGAACTGTTCAAATACATTGAATTCTAAATGACACAAATTAAACAAAATAGTGAAGCCTTCTGTGAAGCATGCAACACTGAAAACTGAGTGAACATCAATGACTTTCAGCAGCAGAAGATGTCCTCACTTAGGCTTGCTAGCTCAAATCCAAGGTAGCTTAAAACATGTATGACTCTCAGCCATCATTCCCAAAATGGTGACTACTGTGATCGCTTTTGAAATCCTGAATCTTTAGCTATTATCTGCAATTGGGCAGGTTTCCATGTACAACAATCAAGCACAGCCATACACAAACACATTTTCATGAACCTTCTTTGGACTTGGAATGAATTTTATGCTATTTTGGGGGTGGGGGAGGAAGAAATCCTACTGCCAAAGATATCTTAAATGTGCAGTTATGCAGACATTTCCTCACATTCCAAAAGGTGCTAGCCTTGTCCTCATACCCAGGTTCATAGTGTTTTAGGTGTTAATTTGCACTCTTATTACAGCCCTTTTGCTGTTTTATTTTTTACCTTGAAGCTGGTTTGCCATTTCGAAAAGGCAAAAAAGCAACAACTGACAAAAAGATGATTGTGCCCTATCTTCCACTTAGATTGCAGTCTTGCTTCTTTCAATTCTTATCCCTTCTTGGTTCCTAATTTGATCACAAAGGGGTAAGGGACATTTTGAAAACGTGAAAGTTGAGTTTGCAGTTTTCCAGACAACTTTTAAAACTTGGCCCTTTGAGCAAAGTATTTCTTCCCTGACGTTAATTGGGTGGCAAATTAACTTTTCCTTCTCCTTCTGTTTTATTTCTGTTTCTAGTGACGGTGGTACTTTTTGCAGCTCTGAGGCGGCAGAGGAAGAAGGAACCTTTGATCATTTCCAAAGAGGACATCAGAGACAACATTGTCAGTTACAATGATGAAGGTGGTGGAGAAGAAGACACTCAGGCCTTTGATATTGGCACACTAAGAAATCCTGAAGCCATAGAAGACAATAAATTACGGAGAGATATTGTGCCAGAGGCACTTTTTCTTCCTCGACGGACTCCAACAGTACGCGATAACACTGATGTCAGAGATTTCATTAACCAAAGGTTAAAGGAAAATGATACAGATCCTACTGCCCCACCATATGACTCCTTAGCTACCTATGCATATGAAGGCAATGGCTCTGTGGCAGAGTCCCTGAGCTCCTTGGAGTCTGTCACTACAGATGGAGATCAAGACTATGATTACCTTAGTGACTGGGGGCCGCGGTTTAAGAAGCTGGCAGACATGTATGGTGGCACAGACAGTGATAAAGACTCTTAATATGTTGCCTTTTTTCATTTTCCAATACAGCATTGAGATATGTGAAGTGGCTATTTCTTTATATTTATCCACAGCTCTGTGAAGGGTCCTGTATTCCAAATGTTAATGACTGCAGTCTGTGTGGATCAAATGTTAGAGACTTTTTCTAGTAAACTTTTATGAGTTTCCAAGAGGCAAAGTTTTATTTTTTAGTGCATCCAGTTTACCAACCCAGTCTTTCAGGCACAGTGGTAGTAGAGAGGACAGGGAGCAATATTTTTACTTGTTCTCTCAGTGTATATTTGAGGACATTATTCTTTCCGCTCACCTGTTCTTTTGACTAGCTTTCATCAATTCAACTCAGATGACTGTTCTAACTGTACGTTACACATACTGATGTGATAAGGAATTGCAATTTAACCTAAATACATTATTCTAGTAAAAGTAATGGGGGAGGAGTAACTATGAAACTAGTATTGGCTGACAAAGAGATGAAAAAAATCATGTATACTGTAATTTTGCAGGTAATTCAGAAATACCAGTTAGCCATTGTCTCCTGTCATTTGAGTATTTTTTTTTTCAGTATTAGCTACTCTTCTGAAAGCATGAAGTCAGTTAGTAATCAAAGGCACAAATTCCATAGATCAATCTATCATTGGGTACACTGTTCTTTGGATATAATATGATGGCCTAGCCCAATTAAGGGTATAAAATTTCAATGCCAGTTTATCATAGTTTCATGATATATTTCAAGTCAATAAGCATTTATTAAGTGATTACCGTGCACCAATTCTATGAGTCGTAATCACAAAGTGGTAGTTTAAAATTTCATTAATTCTCTCTCTGCTAATTCAGAATTTATGATCACATATAGGCATGCTGAAGTTTTACCCTTGCATTATATTATGCTTCAATATTTCAAGAATTTGAGCTTTCATCTCTATGGATATTCCTCCACTAATGCAGGTCACACAACTCCAAGCCTTAATAGACCCTCTTCTTGAGTTACTGCAGCCAAACGTTTATCATCTGGTACCAGTCTTTTGGTTATAAGCCTCTATAAACTGAGATAGGCCAATTAATGAAAGACAGTCTTTTACCAGCCTCATCCTGGAAGTCTTTCCAACTTGGCCTTGCTTACATAGCATTTGAAAACTGAAGATTACTTCCTCTGTGAGGCAACAGAATAAGAGTGTGAGAGGACATCATATGGGACAAGGGAGACCTGTTATGAGGGAAATCAAAGGTTTGACAGGCAATCAATAGTGTAAACAAAGAAAACATTTAACTTTATTAAACTCAAGACCAGCAAACTGATTGAAATCATCATTTGAAATTATTTAAAAAGTTTAGATGATTTAGATTCTAAACTATAAATGAGCTAATTACAAATGATACTATTTGTTAAAGCCCATAAAAATTGTCAGAGGTAGTTTCTCTCCTGTACTTGATAGCAGTTTTACTGCATGTTTGTGAAAGTAATAAAATACTTCCTATATTTTTTAAACCAGTATTTTAGGCTTTTCACCAAATTGGAACTAAATTTTTCTTGATTAGCATGAATTTAGTGATATTTTATTGAATAGCTCAAATCATGCTGTTGGTGGTGAGGTGAGAGCCAAATTTGCAACTGAATTTTGTTGATTTACTTGGATTTCTATAAATATATAGAGAATCTAAATAAATAAGTAGACCTGATAGATATTGTTGTAGATGGATAAAATTGGGCTTGTAGTACTTAATGATAAAATGGAAACCTACTATTAAAATGCTTACAGAAGACGAACAAATGAAAATCTTAGATGTCTTGAGTGAGCTAAACAGGGTTGTTCAGGGTATTAATTAAAATAATAGTCAACTCTTTTAAATGTATTTCTTCAAAGTGATTTTACCTTTGTTCCCATGGCAATTCTGTCATTCCTGCCTTGAAAATTAATACTAAAATCATGGTTCCACATCATGACAAAGAAGTAATGTAAAAATAGTTGAAACCATCATTCCTATTATTGCACTTTTACTGTCATGTAGTGGGTTATTTGGAGGAGCTAACTTATGAACAAGTCTTTTTTAGCAAATTCCATTGATTTCATGATACCATCATCATGATCTTGTCATTTAAACAACCCTATCATGTGCAATGATAAGGAATGTCCAAGGTACTGTAACTTTAGCAATCTTTGTTTATAAACTTAAATCTTTAAAATATAATTTGTTTACATATAAAATAGAAACTTATAGATATGCTTAATACACTAGTTTGTCTTAGGGATTTATTTTCTGTTAACATTAATTTAGTATATATATATATATTCTGATTGTGATTTGAGTATTAGGATATTGACATTTTTATTTTCTCACAAAAATAAAGATATTTAAGTTAATAAAGAGGTATACCATTTAGTAGATAGAGGAGTAAAATTAACGATGACTCCAAAAAATTAGAGAAATGTATTTTTATTAGTTAAATAAAGCAAAACATTTTTAAAGGACCTCAAAGTTGTAGAATCATGGGTTTAGATCCAGAAGGCACCATAGAAGTCATCTGATCCAAAATCCTAATTTTACGGATCAAAAATCTGAGGTCCACAGAAGTTAAATTACTTAGCTAAGGTCATAGAGGCAGTAAGTGGCAGAACTGGTATTTAACTTTCTTATAACTAGATTAATGGAGCTGGAAGGGACCAGTGGAGAATTTTAAAGATTTAGAAACTGGATAAGAGGGTAAGTGATTTGCCCAAGGTCAATTAGTAAGTGACATGGGTTCCTCAACCCAGGTTAATCTCTTGATCCTTCCCAATACACTGCACTGCCTTCTTATTATTTCTTGAATGATACTCATTTCATAAACACTCTACACCCAGCAAGTGGCATTTTACAAGAGGATATTTCACATTTATTGTGTTTTCTTTCTAAGCTCTTCATAAAAAAAAGCTAGATTTCACTGTAATTAACCTATGTATATCAAAGCCACAGGATATTACTGAAAAAGATAACAGCAAAGTTAATTTAAAAGAATTAGGCATTTATAGAAATATAATAGCACCTTAATTGCAATAATCAGTATAAAAATAAAAAGGTCATCATTCCTTCTGCTTCAGGTCATACAACAATTTGAAGCTGGGAAGAAAGACATTTAGCCAAATGGAAGACTGCCACACAGAGGGGTCTCCCTCTTGAGCACTTGACACTAATTGGCTCTTTTGCAGATAGAAGACTTGTTATTTAGGTATGGCCAACTTGCAGGGATCTTGTGTTCTCCTAAAAAGAGTGAGTTGTTAATCAGAATTAAATTCAAGGTTTGATAGACAAGTCTTTTATTGCAACTCCTGAAATGCCACATTTTATCCAGAATAGGCTAATCATGTTTTTTTGTTTAAATATCTAAATGAATATTTAGCTTGTTACCACAAAACCTGATCAAGTGAATCCCCATGGAATTAGATCATGTAAGAAAGGATCTGTATGATTTACTTTGAGGTACAATTAACTCATCCATCATATTTGAATGCTATTTTTCCAGTAACTGACATAACTTGAACAATTAACAAGAGGCAAATTTTTATTCCTGTGTTCTACTACCCCTACTTCTCTCCCACCACGATCTCAATTAAAGCACTATTCAGTGTGCAATTAAAAAAGAAAGTGCTAGAAACCTAGTTGAAAGTGCCAGCTAGCTATTAAAAAATAGGATTTCAGCTGAGTTTTTCATTGCACCTCATCTGGTATCGGATGGTGGTGTGGAGGAAAAGGAAAGAACAGGAAGAGGAGAAGAAAAGTTTTAACAGTGTTACACCCTTTTTGTTTTTCACTGAGATACTAAAAATTGTCAAGTGTGAACATTATACATTATCCTTATTTGGGGGGGGGAAATGGGTTTAGGGGTCATTTCAAGGACATTAATGGGGTTTACCCACATTCATATTTAAGAAGAAATCATTCACCACCACTAATATAAACTGAATATTGAGGGAGAGAAAGATTAAAGAATTTTATTATAACTTTAGAGCCAGTTGTGGAAACTGCTTGCCAAAATAACAACAAAAATCACAAAATACAAAATCAATATATAAAACCTAAGAGATGGGAAATGCAGCAACGAGCTGTGGAAAAGGAAGCCGTTTTGGTGAGAACCACATAGGGAAAGGAAGTTTGAATCACAATGTAAGCATCAGAATATTGGTCATCTTTCTCTGGGTGGATGTAAAAGGGGAAATCTCAGGGAGGTTCCCATATCCAAACTGACTTCATTTTTCAGGTGCTGGGCAAAAAGTAGCCAGCCAAACCAATCAGCTAGCTTCCTTTAAGGACTTGTCTCTCAAAAGGGTTTGCAGAGAACTTCAAACACACACACACACACACACATATGCACAGACACACACACACACACACACAGAGTTTGTTTCTCCTAAATATTCTGGTTTTGTTAAGCCAAAACAACTTTTAGAAAATTTTCCTTTTGTGATTCTTGTCAAATATTTTAAGATGCAAAACCATAGGAACTCTCAAACACACTAATCTGTTCAGTGGCAAGCCACATCTTCCACATCTTGATGCTCCTCTTGGTCTCTGTGGTGTGTGTGTGTGGGTGTGTGTGTGTGTGTGTGTGTGTGTGTGTGTGTGTGTGTGTGTGTGAGAGAGAGAGAGAGAGAGAGAGAATGGTAAAAAGTAACATGGGCAATTTAAGTCAAGCAATACTAGCTTCTATATATTTGAGGCTCACAAACAACAGGAGTGATAAAAACTCGGAGAGCATAGTTATGGGGTGGCCCTGTGGTTGTTGCTGGAGGCAATTTGCAATTTAAAATGGGACATGTTTCTATCTCAGCTTTTTCTATTTTCACCAGGGACAGAAACTGTGTGAGAGAAAGCAATGCTGAGCTGCTGCCCTGGGCCCTCATTTTATGAGAAGCAGGGGGTCCTAACTTCTGTGTAAAGTCCCAACAAAGTGAGACTGCCCCTCTCGCCAAGCTGGGAAGTGTTCCCTGGGAAAGTTGTCAGTTTCATGTAATCTCATTTTATGTAGTTCTGTCTAAATGAAATCTTATCTAAAATTGTGACCTAGTGGCAGGTGGTCCAGAATCTCAGCAACCCATTGTGTTTAAACTAACACTCCAATCTGGGTTTCTTTATCAAATAATGAAGCCAAGAAGATTAACAGATGTAATTTGGATCTTGACTGGTATATGAACTATTTCTTAGCATGTAAGAAGGAGCTGTCCTTTCAAAGGCACGGAGTGATGGGCTTACATACTCAGGAGTTCAGTGAGTGTTAAAACTACAACATCTTTAATCTCCCTTTGGCTTATTTATAGGATAATTTTATAAAGGGATGATTCCCTCCTAAAAATGTGGGAACAAGATTGTATTTAACTCGGGAGGGAACACTCTTAGAAAGGCAATACATGGACTCTCACACTTCTTAAAAGTTAATAAAGAAATATCTCATTTTTAAAGCTACCAGTTTATGGTCTCTGCACCGTCGATTTAATTTAAGCATTGCTGAGACAATCTTTAATCTGCTCACCATTTTGTAATACCTTATTTACGATGC